TAGAGACTAGGGTAATCGTTGTTGTTGTTGTTGTTGTTGTTGTTGTTGTTGTTGTTTTTTCTTAATTAGGTCTATAATTTATGCGATAGATACCCTTTGAGCTGAGGTGACTTTTTCCTTTACCTTTGTAGGACTTTGTCAATAGTCTTGTTTTTCTTTATAGAATTACCCGCTTCTACGTGTAACACGTTCAATAGATAGAAAATTACCATGTCGAGCTAAGATGCTCGCTGACGGAACGAACTAACTGAAAAATGCAAGCATCATGACGGCATTAACCTTTTAAAAGTACGACAAACTGAATCACTTTACGGGCTTTATGTTGATTTTCATAATCAAATTGCTGCTGAAAATTCAGTTAACATATGATGAAATTATATACATATATATGATACATATGAATGTGTAACCCGCCGACATATATTCAACACTGTAGGGAGGGGAGGGGCTGGATTGTGAATTGACTATATGCAGCGAGAACGAATTGGAAATACACATTTTTCGTAATTTGAAGAATTTTATTATCAAGATAATTCTAGGTAAAACAAACTATTCCTCGCAAACAACAAGACACTGAAACTATAACCTGCTTTAAAAGAAAGCCATAACGCAAAACCCACAAACGAACCACGAACCAAAAAACCGTCGACAAGCCCACAAGAACGACCTTCTTTTAGGCAGTATTCATGCGCTGATGACGTTTTGCGTTGCTTCTGCTATGTTTATTGGTCTTTGCCGAGTTATACGTCAAAGTTTTACCAGCTGAATTGAAAGGACGTTTTTTTTTTTGTATTCAAAAACCGATGACTGCATATTAATGCAACAAAATCGGCCCTTTTTGCAGACCGAAAAGGACTACGACTTTATTTCCAAATATCTCGACGATCAACGAAAAATCTAAGATCAATCAAAGTGCATGTCAAAGGTAAAAAACCTCTACAGAGATTTTCAGAATATTTATATATTATTATTATCAGATTTTGAATTATTATGACGCTATGGTTTTGATGATCGCAAGTGACATTCAGCAGAAATACCCAGTGTAAAATTCCTCGGTAATGATATCTATCTATCTATCTATAGATTTTTTATCAGCATTATAACGTACAGTGGTAATATAAATTCAATTTATTTGCTGGAATATAATATTCCCCTAATTGCAGGAACGTTTTCATCTAAAAATAAAAAATAGGGATTAATTTTTTGAGCAAAACTGGTTTAGTTATTTTACTCGGTTTGAATGTATAGACTGGCATTTTTTGATCCTACATTGTTGGTATATAATAAAACAGTTATTCTTGTCAATTTAGGGGCCTATTGTTTATAATTATAAATTATTTCTAATTAATTACTTTGCTGTTTTGTTATCTTTTTATTCAGTTTATTGAAAACGTTCTTGCAATTAGGTGTATCTGTAAGAAAAAAATATATCGGCAGTACAATGGTAGTTTAATTTATTTTCTTGTCAGATTATAATATATTCTAAATGTTTCGAAATTTTCATTAAGAGATTCAGATGAAAATTAAAAGCCATTTGACTGCCTAACATTTTATCGCATGCGCAGGAAAGGATCTAAAATACTAAATCTCTGATTGTCTCTGATCATAAATGAACTAAATGATATTCTAATTCCCGTATCGTTTTTAAAAAAGTCGAAGGATTTACGGTTCTGTTTCATGCAAATTTAAGTAAATTAAGGTATATATAATTTACTTTATTTAAATTTTGAGTGACGTGGGGACAAATGTCGACTCCGACGATTAATTTAAACATTAATGAAAGCTTAGTGTTTTGGACAAGTAGTGAAAGTAGTAGACACAAGACCAGTTTATTTCGAAAAGTAAGGTAGTACACTCTGGTATCGCTGCAAGTACATTTCTACACATGTATAGTTTTCTTCAAACCCAGGCAGATTCCTGGATTTTTTTGGCATCAAATGTAAGTAGAGTTTGTTTAAATCCTCTCCCTCTTTGCGAGAGTTCTCTCCGGTTTTCATCCCTCCACAAAACCAAACGCTCAGAACATTAGAAAATTTGTTTCAATTTTCGATGAAATTGAAGTTGGTTTTTTTTGGTTTTAGACTAAAACTCACTTCATCCAGTCAAGCTCTTAACACTTTTTTACAACTCAACTAGAATTCAACTAGAAACCATTGGCACTCTTCTTCTTCGGTCGTTTCATATACAAGGCTCGTAATTTACCTATCACACATGTTCTTATATGATTTCCGAGCCCATCCCACACGGCTTACTGCCTCATCTAAGTGTTGTTTCTTTTAATTCTAGCCTATTACAATAGCAAAGAATTTGCTCTATATTGCCGACTCTGTGATGAGCACCAATTACGAATGGACGAGTATGGTCTAAATTAGATTAGTAAACGATCGTTCATTACGTCCCTAGGATTGGGGTAGAAAAGTGATTTTAGCGTGTGCGTATATTTAAGAGGTAAAATGGTCTGAATGTACAATTGTTACAGTTTTCTTAAAAATCAGCTGAAAGTGAGAGGCTTATAGGATGCGAGTTTAATGTTTTTATTTTCAAATGTTGAAGGGTGGCTATAGGTTTTATGCTTTCATGAAAAATAGTCTGATCTTAATTGATCTATTTTTACCACGATAGTTTCTTTTTACTGTAATTTGTTGAGCTCGTTATTCTGAGAGTCAACGAATTTACAATCCGTGTCTTATTATGCATGCCTTGTTTAATCAATGCACTGTTTTTTGTTTGTTTTTTTTGTTTTTTTGACAGAAAAATTGAAAATCGCTAATCCTACCAGTCCTATTTATGATTAGCAAGGAAATCTGTAGGTTTATTCTCTTGTTTCTGCAGATTTGTGTTTCGGTTTTATTTTTTATTTTTACATATTCTAGTGTAAATGCTTTTTTATTCGGTTTGAATTCCCTACCTATTATATTTGTTTGAAAAAGACTATAGATGGCGGGCGCACATTCGTTCTCATTGAGCTTTAATTAAAAATTGATCGTAAATCATCATTGGTATCTTACATTAATACTAATGCATTTCTTTTTTTCTTTTTTTCTTTCTTTCTTTCGTTTCGTTTTTTCATCTTTTTGTTTTGCTTTTGTTTTTGCGGGCAAATCACACTGACTAAAGCATTCGTTCGGTTCATCACGAGCTCTGAAAAGAAAAAAGTAAATCTTCAGGATCAGGGTATTGGCAGGTTAACGACAGCTGAAACCCTTTGATTAAACTAGTTTATAAGTTTCTTTGCGACCAATAAATTAATGCCAGACAGCCTTTGCTCTAATCAAAAGACAACAACAATGATTTAATATATTTAAAAAAAATACTTTAAAAATACCAAAACTTAATTTGTTGTTTTTTTCTCTTAAAATTATCAAAACAAAATTATCAATGATTTAAGGCAACAAAGAAAATTTTAATGCCTCTATGTTATCGATTGATATCATGCTCAGTTTCAAAGAATATCCTTGTATAAGGCAAAATTTATAGGGAGACTAGTACGAAAATCTTCCGAAATTTAATTTGGCTGATTTTTTAATTTTTTCCATCAATGGAATAATCTTTACCGGTATAATAATCACTGGTTAAAGTTTTTTCTTCATATTTCAATGGGAAGTATTATATTTTTACGAATTTTTATAGCTTTCTGTGACGTCATACATTCAACACTAAATATCGCTTCATACATTTCTTTGTAAATAACTTCATGTTTTACTCTTTTTCTATTAAACCCAAAGATCCGCTTAGGGACTTAACGTACATAACTTGTGGTTAGGATCATTTCATGGTATGTTTTCTTCAATACAGAGTATAAAACTAGAAGATATTTTGATTACAAAATACAAAGAAATGTACGGAGCGATGTTTAGTGTTGAGTGTATGACGTCACAGACTCCTATAAGAATTCGTTAAAATATAATACTTCCCATCCAAATATTAAAAAAAAAAAACTTAAGCCAGTGATTATTAGACCTTTAAGGGTTATTCCAATAAAGTTTCAGCTGAATTAAAATTTGGATGATTTTCGTGCTAGTCCCCATTTGAGAAAGGCGGACTAAATGAATCAATAGTTTGGCACAACACCGCGTAACTTAGCAACGACACGTAAACTCTCAAGTAACATGTGCAAAAAAACGAAATCTTTAGATCTATTTTCTCTGTTTAGCTTAGAGTACCCTCAAAAAAGTAAAAATCACAGATTTTTCGTGTGTTCTAACGAGGACATGAAAATTGCGTCCACGAGCGAATAATGCTCACTACTATGAACTGAAAGCAATATCATGTTTATTCCAGTAAGCCAGTACACGCATATGAGCATTGATCGATTCAATTTATGTGTTAGTATATAATTGAATAATTAAGAAGATCGATAAAATCTACGTTAGGCACAGCATCTCTAAGTTTTCTGGTCTCATGGTTTGTCTCCAACTCCAATTGGTTTTCGTTCAACATTTGATTTTCTTTGATGTAAGGTTTTTCGCATTTCTATCCCAGTTTTGGAATAAATTTTGCGTTGGAATTATCTTTAACTCTAATCCCAAACATAGGAATAAAAGACGCCATACATATTGCTTTGACTTTTATTTTCTTTTTACACTACGTCGTCAACTAGAGATAAATGAAATAGCACGTATTTTAGTTAGGAGCATCCGGTTTACCTTCTAAGTTGTTAATGTATCTTTTCTGTTTTCTGAGAGGCTTATCTCTATATCTTGGAAATTGAAAACACGATCATAATTAGGCCTTGAATAAATACAAGTGAAAACAGCTGTTTTGCAGAGCAAAAACACTAACAATAACTACTAAGATTACGAAGCTAAACTTAAATTATTCCAGAAAGATCGGAGAGTTTATTGCTCACTTACTTACCACAAAGTGACAAAAATATGATCAGTGTTTTTTTTTCGTTGGTGTGGTTGTTTTTTAATTATATGTATTTCTATCGCTATAATTACAAGTGGAGCCAAGGACCAGATAAGTAGTAAATCTCTTTTTGCTTATTCTATCTAAAGACGTTCTTCCGTGATGACTGGATGGAAATGACTACTTGGAAATAGCTACTTGGAGCTGCGAATGAATAAAGATCAATCTGAGAAACCAACCCATTCAGATGTGGAAGATTTAGACGAAGGTGAGGAGAAGTATTTCAATGTTGAGAAATTCAGTTAAATCAGTTGTGAGCTTGGTAGTAAAGCTAAAAGATTGAAATATAAGTCCACAGTACTTTTAATCATTAATTTAGTAGTTTATTCAAAGACATTATTATTTTAGTCTGTTTTGACATTTTTATCTTTAAACCATTTTATGTGTCTTACTTTCGAAATGAAATGATTTTTCCTCCTTCCTTACCAATTTATCATTATTATTTTCCTTAACCGGCTTGAGCCTCCTTAACCTTATTTTTTTCATTATTTGAATCAGGTATTTTTCCTTTGGATTGAATTTACATGTAAGGAAAAACCATAATTGTTATCTCATTCTTTTAGTTAGGATATAGAAGTCCAACGGCGATTTGTGTTTTGTTGATATACGCGTAGAATGTTCCTGAAAATACGATACACTTAGTAGCCAGGGATTTAAAATTAATGTATCCTGATTGAACCAATCGCAACTAAGTATCATTCAAATTGAAACTCTTATTGTTTTTTAATTTAATTTTTTTATTCCGCAAAATTCAAGGATTTCAGTTTTCAGCTTTTGCTTTTTACCTGGAGTGGTGTAAGACTTGACTTTGAAAACAGCTTCACCATCTGAATGGGATATTTTGGGGGGGGGGGGGGGGTTACGATAATCATTCTGTCTGTTGTAGAATGCATAGACAGCTATTAACGTTTTACAAAGGAAGAAAGGAAGAAAGGAAGAAAGGAAGAAAGATAGGAAGAAAGAAAGAAAGAAAGAAAGAAAGAAAGAAAGAAAGAAAGAAAGCTGTTATAACAATCACATGGTAGCATCAGTCGCAAATGGCATCAAAGGGCATTAACTGAACTAGGTTACTCGGTAGCAATGGGCCTGTGGTAGACATCAATTCGATACGAAAATTAAAATTATCACTCGACGTTGTTTACCGTGATATTAGGGCTCTAACTGCGCGCCGGCTTGCGGGATCCAAATGCGGTTCTAAAACAGCCACCCACGGTTACCAGTATCTATAATGGAGATATACGACGTTGATATATACTGTTTGTCTGTCATTATGCTAGGCCGATAGTCTTTATATTTCTCCCACAATGTCACACCTTCCTTAGTTTTAGTGCGGTGAACAACAAAGGTGTTATTTAAGTTAAGAACCTTCAATTTCCAAAAATGCCTGAAATGCGCTCTTAACGTTTTTCCATATCTGTGTCATTCCCTTTTTTATCGTTTCCTTGTCTACCAGTATATTTTTTCGCGTTGTTTGTGACTAGGGCTTTCAAATAAAAAAATGTCGGACGTGGTATCCAATAACAGACGAGTTTTGAATCCAAAATTACCAATGTGTAGGGTTATAGCCTCATATCAGTGTTTAAATGTTAAACATTATAAACACTTTGAAAATCGACGGACCTTGACTGGAACACGTGAATATTCTGCACAAAATCTAGGCTAACCTGTAATCAAGAAACACAGCGGTAATTTGGAAATCGGAAACTGGTCTATTTCTGATATAATTTTAATAAAAGTTTTAAAACTTTAATTCGCATTATTTATGATACAGTACTATAAATATAATGTTATCTAGATAGTGAGAATATAAATAAATTTTGAAGATAAACAATTGGTATTCCTTGTGTAAATTGTGTAAATTTGTAGATAATAATATACATTAACTGTACATACACAGATATATATGTCAGCCAGTTTGGCTGAAATACTTTTAGCAACCAGACAACGTGTCGTCCCTGGTTGCGTCACCCTATCAACTCCTTAATCACTTAACTTGTTAAGATTATGGAGCACAGTTAAATTGGAAAACCAAAGTAAATCATGAAAGTTTGATAATGATAATCCGGTAAGCAGACGTAGTTTGTTGTTAAATGACAATGGATGTACAAACACACACGAAATGATGTAAATGTCCCATGCAAGCCTAAAGGAGTTATCAGTAAGATAACTTCGTAGTTTTGCACTGCGCATTCTGCTGCGTATAACGTTAGAAGGCAGGAAATTGTCATAGTCTCATAAGACATTGAAATTATGCGGTTTAATCATTTTGAAATTAGCGGCCAAATTTCTCCAATATGGTTTGTAGGGCCAAGATTTATTCATGAAACTCGCCTTAGTCCTCTCTCGGTTGTTGTATGTTTCGATGCCCGCGTAGCTTATTTAGTTAACTTAAGTTAAACTATGTTAGCTATCACTTGTTTGAGTTCCAGTAAAATTCTATCGGTTCACAGTTTTCTGACTGCTATTAGGATAAAAATATACTTAACTTTTTGTTGAGACTGTCGTTTTTGTAAAGTTTTTGGCTTCAGAAGTTAGTTTATTATGTTATGAAGAAAATAATATGAATATTTTAAAGCAATTTGAATAAATCTCTTTATTCGATTTTCATATTGTTCTCATACGCCACCCAAAACACCAAAGCTTGACGTTAATTTACTCCAAAACGAACACGGTAGCCTCCATGTTTCATTTTGTTTCTGTAATAGCTATGACTTAAGAGGAAATGTTTTTCAATAACGAGCAATAATGGCAAAAAGCGGCAAAAAATAGACCTTCGTATGACTTTTGATCCCAATTTTCGTTTTGGGATAACATTCAAATTCTTTTTTTAACAGTTAGAAACTAATGTACTATGATAAAATGTTTGTTTGAAGCGGTATTTTCAATTGTACAAAGATGTTTTGTTGCATTTGTGTTAGAATGTTGCTTTGTCAGGCTTTTTTTGTATAGAAAATATATGGAAAATAAGCCAAATGAAGGCCTAAACCTCATTTTCGAATAAAATTTTTGCTTTGGGTTAACACTTTGATTCCACTTTCATCGGTCATCTCCACTTCCAAACAAGTTCCAAAATGTTTCACTGTAAGCAAACTAAGCAAAACAGAGATACCGTGAAACACACGTTATCTTTTTTATCTCTGAGGCCGAGAACGCCTGGAGCTTACTGCATCTACTTGATCACTTTGCGTATGATTAATGGACTACAGCTTAAAAACATTATTAATATTGTAAAAGTTTTGCTCCAGGGTATAACGCGGCTTTAAATTCGAAGTAGTTGTCCTTTAGAACAATCCACACAAAAATAAACTGTTATTCAAATTATCATATGATTTAATTAAGTAGATGCTTTGTACCAACCGGGGCGGATCCGGGGTAGATTAGCAATCCTTGCCCCTTTGTTTTAAAGTAACATCTAAAGAGGATGCCGTATACTGGCTTTCTAAATATCATCAGCCACCCGCTCCTCCTGGAACTGCTGGATCCGCCACTATAAATATGGTGGAAATATTTTGTGAACGTCTCAAGAAACGTTTCGTGACTTAAAGACGCGCTGATAAACATTACTTTATCATACTCGACTTAGAATAAATTTAGACAAGATCAGTCAAAATCAAAACTAACCCAGCCAATCAGAATGTTGCATTTTCGTCACGCGATTCTTCTCTTTTGTGCAAGATTGCCCGGTGTATGAATTCAAGATGGTTTAGAGAATTCCCTGAATAGATCCTCTTGTTTTCTTTGACCTTGTATCGGAAAAGCGCTCTTTTCATTATTATTTCAAACCAAATAATTAAGAACTTGCTAGAATCCCCACCTCGTGAGAGTGCGCAATAAACTTCAAGATAGATGAACAGATTCATTAATTTCGAGCTCTCCATATCGCCAACAATATTCCTATTTCCTCATAAAAGTCCTTAATATCTCAAAAAGTCCTTTTACTTTGATGCACTAATGGCTTGAATTAGTAACACAGCATCAAAACAACTCCAAGATCTAGCTAAGACTGATGTGGTGTTGATAGTTCTGCAGGGCATGAAGGCGGTAATGTTTGGAATAATGTAGCATGTATGTCGTTCATGTACTTTTGTAGTCTATCATATTGTATTAATGTAAAGATCTTTTTTTTCCTTCCACTTGACAAACATCTCTTCCCATTCTTTTATTTATTTATTTTTATTTATTTATTTATCATCATTATTTATTTTGTATTTGGTTTATTTTCTTTACTGTGGCTGAATAATGAGTGACTCTCATACTCATACCTTTAAAAAATATATATAGCTCAAAAATAAATAAATGATTAAAATAAAACGAAAACGTTTAGAATAAAAATAGAAATTATCTAGAATTTTGCACCAAAATGTCGAATTTTGTCAACAGGAAATCTTAAAGTTTAGATTCATTGATATCGCAAATCGCTCTTCAGTTTCAACATGCACCCAATTCGAAACGCACTGGGGGAAAACGCTCAAAGCCTATAGTTTATTTTTTCAACTCATATATTACCTTTGTCACGAAGCTTCACATTTTTACATCCAAATGATGTCAAAGTCGTTGGCAGACGATGGCTAGCCATGTCTATATAGGGAACTACTGGAAACCACGATTATCTTACAAACTAATAGATGGGTTCAGCACGTCAGTATCTTATCTTAGTCAAACGGTTTTTTAATTTCAAAATGACCACAAATTGCCAAAAATTATATTTGAGGAAACCAATGTTTTCATTTTTTAATGCGAAAATTTGGCTCATTTTTTAATTATAATCTTGCGGTTAAAAGAAGGAGAAAAGGATTTCCCATCATAACATGCGTTTCGGGTTTTTCGGTTCAAAAGCACACAATTTTGGGCGAAAAATTAAATAGTGTTTACGATGATGGGAAAATATTGTCACGATATTTGTTTTCATTCGGTGGATTTTCTAAAAGTTTTCCCAGCTGCTCATCTTGATAGTCAATTAATTGTGGCCGGGCAAAAGCTAACCAGAAAAAAGAGCAGCCTAGTCCAACCTTCTTCAGTTTCAATTTTTTTTCTCTTATTTATTCTCATAACTATTACTTATATAACTCAAACTTTAAAAAGTTAAAAAGCTTTCAACTAGAAATCATTATTATTGGAATTGAAATATTCTTTTAGGACACGGACGTGACGTTTTCAAATCAATCGAATTGAGTGTATTTTTTCCTGATTTTCAGTGGACTGGCGTCGCGAAGAAAGCCTGGAAATGAGAAAGGCTATTTTGGTTGGTGAAAATGTCCTCTGAAATTCTTCAAGCATGGATGTGAATTCAATGGTCGTTACTCTACTTGGAATGTGGCTTGCATTATGGAGTTCTACCGATGCGACAATCGACTTAGAAACGGTAAGAAATTCCTAAAAAGTATGAAAAACCAGAATTGTTTTGAATTAAACATCATTTTAATTTAAATTCGATATTTTTGCAGCTCTATTTTTGTACGTAGGACGTGCGCATATTTCACCTCTTTCAATGCGAGTACGTTCGTAGAATTTGTTTTTATATGAGGATCAAAGATCAAACACTTAGAAAATAGGGAAAATATGGGCTAATTCTTGAAAATGAAAAATACAAGATCAAATTCACAAATCTCAATATTTTTTTAACAAAATACAATACAGAAACGAGAATTAATAAGCATGATAGTATAAACATTAATATACTGTCAGCATGAAATGTTTACATCTTTCACTGTGTTTGATTGTTGCTGTACTATTTTTGAATAACGCATTAGAATCATTGCCAGCTTTCCGGGCTTTTTCAATCTAGCTGGACTGATCTTAATTAATAGAGCTCGTATTTTTCTTAATAAAAAAATGAGGTATCATAGAAGAATAGAACTAGAAGAAAAGATTGATACTGAATGCATAAACATCACGTAAACTGTAGTTTGAGAACAAGAAAAAATAATTGAATATAAATATTTATAGTAATTCAGTTAATATTAAGTCCTAAAGCATATTACAGAAACAGTACAAACAAGAGAATATTTGGCTGTGCAAAAGGTTTAATTTAGCTTTCTCGAGACAAAATTTCTTTATTAAAAACTAATTAAAGAGTGTCACAGGAAACAGTAATTCCCAGGAAAAGGACGAACCAGAAAGATAAAAAATAAATGTCATGTCAAATGGCTTTCCGCGATTTAATTATTGAGTTTTGGAAGCAATTAGGAAATTCTGAGAAGCGTAAAAAAAAAACAAAAAGAAAAATCTGAATCTGAAAAATCTGAACTGATATATGAATTACTTATAAAGAATCAAACATATCTTCAACAGACTCCTTCCAAAGTTATTTTAGATGCGAAGCTAGCAGTAAGAATACAATAAATTGCTTAAATTTCTTTAAGTAAAGATATGATTTAATTTTTTGGTGTTATATGGCGTGTCATTTTTACTTACACCACTCTGACTACTACTAGGACGCTTCACTTCACTTCTTGTCCAAATTTTATTGCCTTATGAGACCACTGTGACGTGCACTGGTGTAAAGACAAAGTGTGTAAAGAATCACTGAACTTCGAAGGGAGGGGTGAACTACCCAAAAATCAGGTTCATAATTCTTGGGGTGCATGTTACGTCATAGCCGCCATGTTTGTTGGCTATACAAAGCATTCCTCATTCATCTTCTCTTGATGGATCAACCAACATGGCGGGCGTGTTTCATTGTTAATTATATCTCAAGGGATTTTTCGGTCACGCGGTTGCAATTCAAGAATTAATTACATACTACTGTTGACCAGAATCGTCCTATTATGAGAAACTCTATAATGTTTCAAAGTATATAACAGAAACGCCCCGCTTTGCGACTAAATAATTTTCTCCATAACATGCCAAAGCGCACGGCGCGCGGTGATGCAGCTGTCGTCTATTGTTTTGCTTGGCTGCAGGCAAAAAATAGACCCAAGCTCATTGTGAGGAAACAACTGATTCTAACAATACACACTTCCCTTATAAGAGGCTTTCTCTAAGTAAGCTTGCAAACATCGGAGAACATCTTTTAATTTCTCCTGCTGTACATAAGCTGCGAGCTCCAAATAAAGAGTTTCATGGACTTTGGAGCTCTGGCTACCTGAGCAGATAGATAGTTTTCTGCTTCTCCGTTTGCTATCTTTACCTCCGAGATCAGTACCTGAAGGTCTCAAAATTTGTAGATGTGATTTTAAAGGCAGCTCCAGTTCTGATAAGTTATTTTAACACCCTGAGCCAATCTGATAAGGCAACAGTCTGAAGGCGTCGAAGCTAGAATGACCTACACGTACAGCTAAGGTTAACTAACTCTTGCATACCACGTGACCGAAAACTCCCTTGAGATATAAATAACAATGAAACAGACGCCATCTTGGTTGATCTAACAAGAGAAGATTGATGAGGAATACTGTGTATAGTCAGCCAACATGGTGGCTATGACGTAACATCCATCCCAAATTAAGACTGATCACTGAGAATAATCATAATAGTTCTTACCGAGTTGCTTTGTTTCATCAGCAAATGGCGATTGGTAAAGTAATGACAATAGTTAATTGACATCACAGCAACTAGCACTGCTACTACTGAATCATTTCTCTTGATCGTAAGCTGCTCCACTAACAATCAAAGATCATAAAGTGCACTGAGACGCATGTATTATGTACTTTAGTATAATTTTAGACTTGAATTTAGAGTTTCGCGCACAGTGATTAGTCCAATTATTACCAGTGATGAAGATACGATATTCATTTTTCGATTGAGGTTTCCCTTGATCTTTTATCGCATATACTTAGGGCACAAAAAGAACACTCCAGTTTTGACCAATATTTTATTCAACATTTCGTTTTGACAAAAAATAAACAACTTATGATTTTAAGAAAGAACTGACGGCTAAACGTGTTAATACCAGGCAGCTGTCCTAACGGGTATGCGCGATGTGCGTGTGAAGTCCCATGCAAAAAAAACGCGTTTGATTTTAGTGTCGACCAGCTGAACATACTAAGGAACATACCGAATCGAAATCTGGCGACCAATTTCAATAACTATTGTTGTAGACTGACTAGCCTCTTAAGATGCGAAAACTTTTTTTCGGTTTCCCCTTGAACTCGAGGCTTGTCAGTCCGGAACGGATGGTTGTTTGCCAATTGGTCGTCATTTTTCGAATCAGTGTATACTTCAAGTTAAAATCGCTATTTTGCGCTCCTCTGTCCTTGCATGGACATATATTGAGAGATTCAGTCATTACAAGGGCAGCAAGTCTAGTAAATCAACACTTGGGGTGCCTACCAGTTACCCGAAAAAACCGAAATTTTGATTGGAAAACAAATGGCATATATCATTCCGATCTGAAAGTTCCGGGAAAATCGGTCTTCCGATTGAGGTAATCCACTTTTCCCGCTCATTTCAGTTCTTCCGGTAGACGCGTGTACCATTTTTAGAAATTCAAAGTTTCCCGCTCTTTTCTTACCATTAGCTAACGATTTTTTTCAAAACAAACATGACTGCCATGTCTTTGCCGAGGCCACACCTCTTGGGTGTATAACATTATGATCAACTGCTGAACGTCATATCGTGGTAAATAAGAGAACATACCACGCTAAACCATCGGATATTTTTAAAACATATAAAACTTTCTCATCTTTAATATGTTACATTAGGTGAACCATTTTTAATGCAAATTCATTTGGTAAGGAAGGCATTTGTTAAAAGGTCATTGTCCATAATCATTATGCTTTGCCTCGGGAAAATATCGGGGGGAAAGAGCAATTTGCTGTTTCCCTTGGGGCTAGTCATTAGATGTTGTTTTCTACCTCCCTAATCAAACGAACAAGTTATTTTGACAAAATGAAGAGCAATCAGTGAATGCCATTTTCGTATGAGAGGGCGCCAGCTGCGTTTCACGTATTTTCCAACAAGCTCGATCTGATCTCATGTATTTATTCTCCTGTCACGTACATTCATTTCTTATCATTGAGAAAAAAACAGCTTCTCATTACGTCACACCTGCCCTTATACAATAGTCCCCTTCACAGTTCCCTGCGCCATCTCGAAAGGAATTCGTGCCTTTGCATCGAAGCGAGACGAAAGGTCAGCTTGCAATGATAGAGACCTTTTTTAAACACCTTGGATAATTTTTCACATGTCTCTATCACTACAAGCTTACCGTCCGTCTCGCTTCGATGCAGAGGCATATATTTATGGCGCTCACTGACCCTGGGTATTCAAAAGTTCTGATGTTCTTGTTCTATTTGGTGTTGGCAAGAAAGTAAATTCACACCACATGCGCACGCGCAAGTCAAGTTAGACTAAAAGATGTCTGAATTGTAAAATGTGGCGTCCGGTCTAGGTGGAAAGGGAAAATTTATGTTGCAACATTTCAAAAAATACTCAAGGGATTGATGATACGTGATCTTAGTGCACAGCTCGTCTTTTTTAGTATTTAGTTTTTACCAACCACAATGATTCGCATACGCCACCTTTCGACATCAGAGTCACATTTGGCGGTGGCAATAAAATAGACTTCTGAAATGTCAGACAATTACTGTCAATTATGGGTCGACCACACAAAGCAAGGAAAGCGACATATATATATTTTTTACTGACTTACGCGGTTCAGACCTTTCTGTCTGCTGTATAGTTCTCGGTTTGTTACGTAAGCATCATGGTGTAATTATCATTACTTACAATATTATGTAAGTAGAATACTTACATAAATAAGGAAAACCAATAGCTAGTGACCGCAAAGGTAGAGCTGATAAAAGAGCGATATATGTTTAATGCGGCTGGTACAAAAATAAGATTGAAACTCTTGCATCTTTTGTGAGGACTTGGCATTCAAGTAGAGACTAAATTCGAAATTGTATAAAATTCACCTTTTCGGCGCTAGCTTGGATTGTGTTACGGTCACCAAAAATTTCGGGCATCGTTCTCGGATTCCCATACAAATTCACTGAGTTAACAGCAGTAAGAAAAGCTTCAATCAAGCTTAAAAAAATGATCATTTACTTGTATTTAGAGAACTAACTAAACATTAACCAAGTAAATAGTTCATTTAGAGTCAGTACATTTGTACGGGAATTCGAGAACAATGTCCGAACTTTTTGGTGACCGTAACACAATCTAAAACAATTTATACCCCGTGACGGCTAGCGAAAAGGTGAATATTAATGAAAAAGGTGAAACGAAAAGGTGAATATTAATGGTCAAACTTGATTATCGAAACGTACAGGAAGCCCGAGATTGTGTTTTATCATACCTACCAAATAATACTCAAATCACATCTCCGTATTTTAGTCACGTGGCGATCCGTTATAGCGCGATATTGGGCAGCATCCTATTGGACTGCAAATGAACTTATCGTTATGGCACTATAGTAGTCTTTTTATTTAAAAAAATTATTTGTTCGACATAATAAAACACCTATAAAATTCATCCTCGCCCATTATGGCAGATATTGAAATATTGACTTCAATATTCTGCCATAATGGGCTCGGATAAATCTAATTAGTGTATCTATATAGGGTCTTGCTTCCGATCTGTTCGCATAATGGAGGTTTATTTTTGTCTGATTACTTTGACATTTTGATCATCAGATTTGCGAACGGATTTGATACCCTTTAGATATGTAAACTAGATTGCGAACGTCGAAGATTTCTTATAGAGCGTTTTCACTCAGGTTACAAGGCAGTCATATTGGTGTAAATGTTTAAATAGAGTTCAACTCCCCGAGGATAGAAAATGTATTCTTTTGGTACACCAAAATGATTGCTGTGACGTCAAGTGAAAACGCTCTATAGACCCCTTGCAGCACTTTGGAATGCAGCTCAATCTGGGGGAGATCTTAAAATTCTTTCGTTTTGTCCCCCAGATCGAGCTGCTTTGACATCACATGATAGGAGTTTATAGTTACGAATTGCAGAACATCGAAGAGCATTGTAACTATGAGTCTTGGAAGATCGCACGCACAGCACGGAAATAGTTTTTCCATACGATTCACGTCACACTTTTAAAAAAGCTCTAAAATTGTATCAATGTTATCTTGGTTGAATATAACGTTAATTGATACAAATTGAACTAGATTGAATGATGACGCGTTTGGCTTATCTTTTTTCAGGCTCCCGCGAAGAATGCTGTTAATATGGGTAAGTCTTATAATAGTTGAACCTTTTTGCTTTTTAAACCCAATGACTTGGACCATTCATGCTTTGCCTTCAGTTGGGCTGTGACTGTGTGTGTGCTTATTTCCTGATCAGGCTGTACTTAGATTTAGCCGGGGTCATTATTCAGCATTCGCTACTCGCTGATCAATAAAACAACTGAAGGCGCAGATGTTGAGAAAAGTGGGATGAAAAGGAAAAGGAAAGTACTAATATTAATTTGAGGCAAGGCAAGGCAAGGCAAAAGAAAGGACTAACTGAAAAGAAGGGAAAGAAAAGAAAAAGGAAAGGAAAGGGGAAAGGAAAGGGGAAGGAAAAGAAAGTAAGAATGGAAAGGAGAAGAAAGGAAACGAACTGAAAAGTAATGATCTAAAGTATCTTTAGTGCTATCTTAAGGTCTGCGCTTGCGCGAGGTTTTTGCAAAACAAAAAAAGATGAAGACGCGCATTAAAACAGTAAGCAGAGCGTTAAAATAAAGGCGTATAAGTTCGAGGCATTTAGTCTGAGTTAGCTATGAATAACGCCATGACCAGTCATAAATATATTCGAAGACTGTACTTGATATGATCAAATTAAATACCTTTATTTCAATTTATAATGGTTGAATACTGACGCAATCGTGAAAAAGACAACTGAATAAGTGGTTTTTTAAATGAAATGTCTGAATATGCGTGTAATAATTTTATGTCTGGTCAGGCGGGATGTTTGCCCGTGTACTGCCTGCTACAATCAATCATCGACTTCTTTAGTATAGCAATTCTACGATTCAGAGCAACAGAACGTTTGTCATTTAAATTCCACTCTGACATCTTGTTAGCATCACTATTAAATATTTAATTATTTCGACGTCTAAATTATTAATTTTCGCTTCAGTGTTTTCTCATGACTGGAAAACGAGCGGTTTTAGTTAGTAGATTTTTACTTTAAAACGTCCAAATTTTCTTTCTTCTGGACATATAATAACGATTGATGATATGAGGGTACTAAAGAGATTATGACTTGTCTTTTCACTTGACAAGAAAAAAATATCTTCATCCATGAAAATTCATGAAAGTGAAAAAACAAACGATTTGTAAAGAATATTATATTGTGAAGTATTTTCAATAGGTCTCACTTCAAAAAGACTTTAGTTTCCCTCAACGGGCTATTTAGACTTGATAAAGCGACACCGAGAGTTTATTTTCAATTAACTTTTGACTAGTTTTGTGCTGTTTGAAAAGAGTTTATCACTGGTGGCCAAAGAAACAGCATGTTTCTGGCATCATTTTTTAAAGAGCATTTCTTAAAACACAACATCTTGAAATACCCAAGACTTCAATTTGGAATATTTATTGGTTTCATTTGAAAGATTCAGTGTAATGTTTTAGAGTCTTATCAGAGGTTTTTGATTCGATTAAACTCGGGTCGACGATTTGTACATCTGTGCCCCTTCTCAAAGATAACCCGCTAAAGATAATATTTAAGGAATAATAAAAAGTGCCAGTGCAAAATAACATAATTCTTGTCGATCATAGTTAAATATACATGCAACGCCGGGTACCGTGCGTTCTTCAAAACTGGTGCTTTGATGATGATTATTTAATCAAACTTTAATCAGGTACAACACGCATCAAGAAGATCGAGTTTTCTTTGTAATATAACATCACATTTTAATGGAATAAAACTATAAAAACTAGATGATGAAAAATATTAAATAGAAATAAGGAACTAACTTATTTTGAGCGTTAGGAACGGACTGCTACAAGAATCTTTTACTGTTGCAACAGAGAAGTGCGTTATATTTTAATTTTTGAAACAATTTCTTCTCTACAAGAACATTGACAAATTCTACATTTTTTTTTTTTTTTTTCAACGGGAAAAATAGTCAATACTTTTTTTTTTAAAAGTTCTTTTTTTAATCCAGTCATAACACTTTGCCGCATAGATACGGCTACAGTTTTGGCTAAAAATAAATATCTTTTTGATAAAACAAACCGCCTTTTAAATATTTTTCTATGGGCATAGAAACCGACTGAGACCAGTAACAAAATAAATCATTTTCAAATTACTGCAATCTAAAACTTATGCCAATTAAGAATTACGTTTTTTTTCCAGTTTAACTTAGTTATCTTAGTCGTTTTTCATGGCCGAGCGAGGCAAGATGATGATCATGTTTCTATTTTTGCCTTATTTGTTTTCGTTTAGTTTTGAAGATTTCGCATATGGGCAACAAAAAGATCTTGTTTAATATTTCTCTGTTGCTGTGTAGTATTCATGCCTTCAACTTCTTATTCAATTTGAATACACTTATTTGGTTCTTCAAACACCTGCTAAAATCGACTTTTTGTTTCAAACATAACTAGAAAAATCCAAAAGAAATTCTGAATAGAAATTACGATTTTTCGATTAGAAAATTTCGTTTTTACTTTGTTTTATGCCGATTATCATTGTGAAAATCGAAATGTAATTTGTTGAGCATTTCGTGCTGGCAGCGCGCCGTTACATCATATGAAATGTTGTGTGACAGCTCAGCCGCTCTCTCTATATATATATATCGTTCCAAATAGTATTCTTGGCAGAGAGTGAGATTCGAGGCCAGTTATTCGCTATTTTAACGCATTAGCGAAAACAAATACCTTTACTTTGCATAACAATCATTAACACAATAATATGCTACAAATGCTTGCCGGGCAGAGAATAATTATTTTTCTTATCTCGACTGGGAAGTGTCATCATTGCTGAGACGAGTGGCCGGTAGCTGATCTCCTGATTGATATCACAATGCCCGATAACAGTTAATCTAAAATGAAGTGGAAACTTTTAGTAAGTGTTTTTTGCACTGTTCTTTCTTTTCCTACTACAGAATGGTACAACAGTTCGGTGAGTTATTGGCCTTTTGAGAGTTTCTCAGACAAGATCATACGAGACTGGACTGGAAATAATAACGGAAAGATTAACGGAACGGTTCGCTCGGTAAACGGAATAGTTGGATCTGCCATTGAATTAACGGGAAAATATTCATGGATAGATTTTGGTCTTCTTCCGGAAACCTGTTTGAACCAGCCTGACGCCTGTTCTGAGGGATTTACTATAGCATTCTGGCTTAAACTGCCCACGTTTGAGGGCAATAAAATCATAGTTCAACTTGGACAGAATCGCCACTCAAGGGGATTCACCGTTTGGACAAGACGTAAAAAAGAAAAGAAAATCAATTTCAGCGTGAACGGCAAGCATCTAAGCTTTCACTCCATGCTGAACTGGCCCGCAACCTACTGGACCCACGTAGGATTAATCTGGAGAAAAACGGAACAAAATCTCGGGATTTATTTCAATTGTTCACTAGTTGGAATTGGCGGGGTCAAGAATGCCAGTAAATCGTCAAAAACTGCGAAGTTGAGTAAAGTGACATTAATGGTGGGAGCAAGCCATGGGCACAACAAAAATGCTCATATGTTAATGGATGAATTTGCAATTTGGAACCGAACTCTAACTGAGGATGAGTTATGCAGAGTGGTTGACATCAAAACCGGTGAGTCTAGTTGAACATAAATAATATTTTAATTCGACTTAATTCCATCTTGCATGTGAGGCATAGCAGGTCGATGTGTTACTACACAAACACAGACCCACACGCTGAGCTGCATGCAAGCGAATTTTGACAAAGATAAAGAAGGAAGGGTTTGCTAACACTGTTTTTGACGCCCCTACACAGCTGGGTTAAGATTGAAGATTGAAGCATCGCCTGAAGACATTTCAGTTATCGATCAGTTTTCTATTTTGCACCTGCAAGTTGATAACGATCGCCGTTGGTTAACTCATTCGCTTAAACTTAAATCTTCTATATGCTCGGTAGCGATCGAACCTTGATGCGAATAAAATATAGACTTTGACAAATATACTTTTTATTGTTTTTAAAAAGCATTTTCAATCGCTTTTCAGCTACGATTGAGACAGTCGAGTTATCTCCCACGCACACAATGGAGTCATTAAAATGAAATTCGTTTATCATTAATCAAGAAATATCTTAGACGAGTATTTGCTAAGCACATGACGTAAAGCGCGTTATATTCATTCGCGCAATCATTCAAAGTACTTTCTTTGTTGCTGTTGTTTGGCTCATAAAACGAAATCTCAAGTATATCCTTCGATTGCACCTTAGGTCATCGCGGCCTCTCGGGGGAGCGTTGATGTCATTTAACAAAAGATTTCTTACTAGCATCCATTGTTAACGGCACCAAGATGGCCGCCATGTCTTTGTCTTTTAACTCTCTTCAATGGAAATGGTTACATACATCCCATCAATTGGAAATTTTTTTACTGCTTTTGAGAATCCATTTACTATTACCAATTAAGTCTGCTCCTTAAGTGAACCATCTTGTCGCGCCGGAGATTACAGAGATAATATAAAGCGGGCCTCGAAAGCACATTAATGTAAGGTCATCCCAACAGCTTTTGGTCTATTTTCACACCAAAGGCTTTGGGGTGACCTTAAATGAAGATTTACGTAACAATTGGTAAAACCATTCTGCTAAAGCCTTTAATCACTAGCTTACAGTTTAATTACTTCTATTCTAAGACGTTGAAGACTGAGATCAGCTCAGAAACAGATAACTATTCATAAATATCCATTTAAAAGGACATTGAAGGCTGTAAAAAAATAATCAAAATTTATCGGCACCCTGAACAACCTTAGGGCCTCTTAACTCAGTCAAGCCACGATGACTTATCGTCTGGGAATTAAGATTTGAATTCGACGTACCCACGCTATACTTGTATAGTGAAAGGAAAGACTCATAGTTTTAATAAACATTGTAGTGAAAGGAAAGACTCACTGACCGTTCTGGAATGCCATATTCCAAAGTGTTTTTAAAAAACCTACCTTGATATAGTGCACTTTTAAAACAATTTCCAAAAGTCCAAAAGAAGATTTGTTTTCCATTTTTTAATATAAATAAGTATACTATAAGACAAACCCTATTTTTCAACCTCGGTTAGTAATAACATTAAGGCTCTTAAGGGATAAGTAAGCCGCGAGTTTAATAACTCTCGCGTCGCTTCTTTTAGAAGTTTCTTGAAGTGTGATGTAAATAATAAGAAAAAGAGGATGTCTTTCGTTGCAGCTGTGTTAAGGACCCACTTTTATTTCCTATCAGATTTTGTGATATTTTTAGATTTAATGACATTTTGTGATCGCGGGGGGATCGTTTCTGACCTTTTCTTCTTCTCCATTCAAACTATTCTTATTATAAATCTATTGACGCTTCTTTGTAATCATGAATGAATTTGGTCTTTGTTGGAGTTAAATTCATTTGTTTGAGAAAAGATTTATAACGATGCTGGGATGAGAAGACTGACTCCATGCGAGGACTTGTTAGCAAACTGATGATGAGATTTGATTTGTAAATCTAGAAGTGAGAAAAGCGGATCCGGAGAAGCCCAGGTAAAAAAGAGAAAGACAGGAGATTTAAATAAAAAGAATAAAAAAGGAAGAAAAGGGAAAAGAAAAAAAAGAAAAAAGAAGAAGGAAAAAAAAAAAAGAAAAGAAAAGAAAAGAAAAGAAGGGGGAAAAAAGCAGAAGAAGGCTTAAGAAGAAGAGAGAAAAGCAAAATCAAGAGCTCAGGACAGAAAACAGCAAGAGAAAAAGCTGAATATGTATCAAAGATAGATCAGAAAGGAAAGGAATGAGAAGACCATTTTTATTAATAAAACTTCTTGTTGTCGAATGTGGTGCTCTGCTTTATGCCTTCTCTCTGGTTCCGCAAACTGAACTGATCAATATTTCTAATTTCGATTATCTGAGATATATTTATACCTATTTAGAAGAAAAAAGACTCATTATAGCCATTTATATCGTTAACTATGGATATCTGACTTTTTATATTTTTCATTTTATAAAATTTTCCAAACTTACTTTCGAAAAATGGATCATGCCTTCCCTCTGGTTCCGTAAAAATCAACATTTCTAATTTCCGATTATACTGAGATATATATATATATATACATATTTGAAAAAAAGAAAAAAAGACTCGTTATAGCCATTTATATCGTTAGCTATGGATATCTGACATTTCATTTTGTCATTTTTTTAAATTTTCCCAACTTAATTTCGAGAAATCCAACGTTAAATATGGGATTTAACAATGGCAATTTTCAGTACTTATTTCATTCACTGAATTAAAGTTTCAGTTGGATTTTAGAATTTATAATTTTTGCGGATAGAGAAAAACCAAACTATTTAGAGGACTATTTATACCATTGGTCAGCCTTCAATACCAATATAACATATCCCAACAGCCAGGTAATGAAAAGTAGTTTTCCTACCTTGTTTAGCAAAACGAGCCGCTATAATAAATCCCCTGCAACGGCTAGTGGATAGTTTGTTAGACTAATCAATGTGAACCTGAGTATTATCAATAATTTTAGTCTCGAAAGGTTGATGAAATTTCTCAAAGGCTTTGACCAAATTTGAAAAATATTTTCTAATTAACCACAAGATAGCCACTGTTGCAAACTTATGATAACCAAAATAAAGAGGTCGATAATCACGCCACTTTTCTTTTCTGCTTTTTTCTTTGGTTCGTTGTTTCCATTAATTCTAATGAAAATCATGTCTTTTTTTCAATTTTTAGTGAATATATATTAATAATATACAGTCAATGTCATTAACGTTGTCTACGGAAAAAAGATATTTAGATATCTACACATTTACACAGTTAGACATTTACACATTTAGACATTTAGACTAAAAGAAATATCACGTGTTTCCTCGAACGTTCTGGCATAAGACAAACGCTGAAGTACAATTCTCCATCTTAATTCCTCACTAAATGGTCAGGGCATTTTGGATTTTCGATTCACGAGTTGAATTTTACATTTAAAGTTCAGGCTCACTTTAGTCTAAATATGTAAATATGTAAACGTCTAAATGTCTAAATGTGTAAATGTGTAAAAATCTTTTTTTCGGTGGACAACGTTAATGACATTGACTGTATATATTTTCATCACTATTTTCTAGCCTTTAAAAAATTTGAATTTTGGGAAGCAATTTGTTTTGGCTTAGACATTTCAGGTACCTAGACTCCAGCAGTGAGATGCAAATATTTAGTATTTTTAACAGCACATTTTTTCTCAGTCTATACATGAATCATTGAGCAACTAGGTGCCATTTGACTCACTGCCAAAACACTAACCGGGATTCACATATAGTGAAAACAAAGGAATCAAACTTATAAGTCAAGCTTGAACCAATCAGGATTGACGGAGAAAGCAACGAAGCCTATGTGTTTAAGAAAAAACTAAAGTGTTTTGAGACAACAACATTAACTTTAAGGATAAACATGAACCGTCGAGTAAAACTGGGGTAAAATAGAGAGTTTTAGATTTACGTTCACGGCAAACATGAAACGTCAGTTGACCAGTAAAAAATTCTTTTAAATGACTGAAAAAGAATCGCAAAAAAGTCCAAGTAGTAGAAAAACAAAAGAGTAATTGCGCTTGGTGAGAAGGTTTGTAAATAGTAAAGTAAAATACAGGAAAACTATGAAAGCGTGGTCACGTTTGCCGTTTGCGGGGAGAAAAAAAAGTCAATCTAAAACTCTCTAATGATTGAAATCAAGTTTTGTTGCATGTTAGCGCTACAGTGGTCGTCCATTCACCGGTTCCAGTTTTTGTGTTTCATTGGTGTCTGAATTTTAAGAATTTATTAACGGATTGAAAAATGTTATATACCGATTACACCACATTCTACAACAACTTGAACCAATGACTAGGCAAGGCGAATCCGGATTAGAATTTTAGATTTTTTTACGAGACAGCCATCCAACTAGTTTGACAATATTCAGGATTACTTGTATTTTCTTATTGTGTCGTTATATAGTACACCAAAACTAACTTCCTTGTCAGTAATGGCATGTTTACAAATACCCCACTTAATTACTCGATTAGCAGCTTTTGTTGAGCCCAAGATTCTACATTCCAGCGGAGCCCTTAAACAAACGAAAAATATCGAGGCAGAATAAACCAGAAAGAAGTAATACATTTGCAATAACGTAAAAAGAATTCTGATTTCCACGCGGCTTTGAGGGGATTTAGCCTCCAGACAAACGAGTTTTCGCCGATTGTTGAAATAAGCCTAGCCTGCGTGCAGACCGAATTTAACTTTCGTTAACGAGAGTTAAATTCCGACTGCACGCATGTAGTAGGCTAAGATAAGCCAGGCCGGAGACAAATGGGGGCCATATTGAATAGTCGAACCAGGACAAAATATGTCTAATTTACAACCATTCTCAGTCACACGCGCCCTCTAGCGATTATTTTTGTCGCGACGAAGTAGATTTTGGTGGACGTCAATCAAAGCGTTTCCATGACATTCTATAGGCTGCAATACGCTACTTTGGTGATGCAAAATTTTTCTCGTTCAATTCCACTCAGGGCTCAAGTTATCAGAAATTTGTTCAATTAGTATAGGAAATCGCACGGTCTCGAGTGCTCAAATATTCGGAATTGATAGATACGAATGAAGTTTTCAAA